GCTGGACACACTTGCTTTCGTGTTGGCAGTGGCTTCAGAATTTGTGACCACCGTTGTACCATGATACAAGTCGAGAAAACTCTAGCGTCCTGAAACAATTTCTGGCGATGTCAGCTTCAGTTCCGATTTTCGATCGAATTGAATGCATAATTTGTGTGATAGCAGTTTAATCTTTTGCCTCTGTGATTTTTCAATACTACGACTACTACATCTACAAAATACCTTCAATTGTTCAAAGCAGACTGATATATTTGCGGTCGTCTGACTCCGATGGTTATTGTCGTAAACGCTTTCATCACCTCTGCACTCTGCTAAAATGAGCCCCGTCAAGGGTAAGATCTTACACCCGAACCGCACGAAAACCTAGTATTTGCTAGTATGAGGCTGATACAATCAAATTAGTTTTAAAAGTACAATTTCTTATTTGATCGATCGCATGATCTTGCGCACTGAGATTGACGCGGATTAACATCAGCTCCTCTTACGTCTCTTTTACAGTACTCGTAAGCAACGGTTATATAAACAATTTTCCTAACTTGCTTAAAGCAAATGTAAAGATAACCATTACAAAATCACAGCACATTTCCATGTTCCGTCTCAATTGGGTGAACTGGTAATTGCTGGACTACTTCCAGTACGTTTATGATTTAGCGTATATCTTTATAAGCTTACGTTTTGAGAATGCGCATTCTTGGCCAGCTTCGCTAACTGTCCCAATAATATGAGTTGCAGCTTTCACAACTTGATATTTATTTGTAAATCCTAACGATTCTGAAGCTCCATTAGGTTTTTACTTACTTAATCATCCACAATATAATTAAATCCACATTTCGAGAAAGAATTCCGATACAATATATCCTGCAATTTTGATAAGCCCATAATAATAGTTGTCATCAAGCAAATATTTAGTTAACAAAAAGAGAAACCTGCTGAAATTTATGGCTTTTCATCAGTTAAACCGCCAATGACAGAAGCACCTGTCGTTTTAACTCAGCATCAAATCCCATGTATAAATCAAGAGTTCATCACCGCCCATTCGTTTATTTGGTGCATGCCACGCTTCATGCTACTTCCCTAATCATTGCAGTATTAGTGAGATCTTCCGAGGCAATGTCAAATATGTCCGCGCTAGTCTGAAGAAAGTAGCATTTTATCGACTTAAGCGTGACAGGAATTTGCTGCAAATACAGCCGTTTTGTGTATGCATATCTACGAATCCTTGATTTCGATGAGAATGAATCTGGAATTGCTCGGCAAAAAATTAAACAATACAATACCGAAATAGAACCTGAAGATGCATATTACTAAGTAATGAATCTTGACACATTTAGAGTGCTCATACTGGTCCCGAAACATGGTGCGACTACGTGACCCAGCGCAATCATGGCACTATGTTTGTACGTGAGGTAAATCTGACTCAACAACAACATTTAGTTTGTAAATTTGTCAAGAATAAAATGGGTCCATCTAAGGTTGTTAACCCCATTCGGTATCCTTGCTTTCAACACGGCACCCGGATTGGCACCGGTTGCTGACGAGGCAGCAAACGCCCTACGGATGCAGTATGCCCCTATCTTCCAAAACGAGATGTCCGCCATTTCTACCTTCCTACAGCACTAGTCACAATTTCAGCGCTTCATCACATCGCTTTGGTTACTACAACTGGGTGAAGGAAACTGCTGTCGCTGCGCAACTACAGTTCGACCGGAACTTATGGCATTATATCGAGCGCGTTGTAGGTAGCAGCAACAAAGCTAGCTTGGCCAATATCCTGTCTTCCAAACTTGCTTGGATAAGAAAAGTGTACCTAATAAGTGAACACTTGTTAATCACCGCGATTTTCAAAATACTGTTATTGCTCGGAACCTACGAACTATCGCCCTGTGGTCCTTCTCCCTGTACACTCAAAGATGATGGAGGCAATCAACGCTGAGTCTTTAGTTGACGAATTATATCGCCTCAACATGAGAGCACGCGAGCAACACCGTTTACGCCATCACCGTTCAAGTGCTAGCAACCGGGTGATTGCACGCAGTGTTTGGTCGTAATTGTCCGGTAAATGTAGAAAGTCGGACGTCTTTTCCGTATGCATTCTACGGCTGTCGACCTACTGGACTACTTCATACTGCTGTAACAACCTCGACAACTATGGATTTGTTGACCATGCCCTTTAGTTATCAGAGTTTTTCTGCGGGATTTGCAGCAGCAATTCAGGGTTTGATATGCTGTGTCCAATCCGATTCATGTTGAATGTGGAATTCCTCAATGATTAGTTCTGGAGCCGCGAATGTTTCTCGTTTTCATCAAATTACTTACGCATATGCTTGCCTGTGGTTTCCTGCTGTTCTCTGACAATGTTAGTTTGTGGCGCACCAATTGCCGTCCTTGAAATCGTGATACACTCCATTGAGATCTGGACAGTCTGTATGGGTTTCACTGCGCAATCTCCTCCAGTTCATATCGGGAATTGATTTTGCTTCACAATTGGCACTGGTCCAATATATTATGCAAGCTTGCAAGCAGTAAGCCAGAAGCGAGAACTTAAGGTATTAGTGCAGACTGATCTGCTCCGCTGAGAACAAGCTAAAAGTCGTAAAAATGTTGCAAGCCTTCACGCTGGCATGCTGCGGAGTTCATTTAGTTTGTTTGTTTTATGTGTCTGTTCGCAGTTGATTAGTACCTACCAGCGGCCTTATGTGGAAAGTAATACTCCTTCGATACGGCGTTCCACGCACATCCGTGTCCAATTGTGTGATGGACTGTAATTGATCATTAAATCTGAATCATTAAATCTGCAACAAATAATAAGTACCTCTTAGACGGCTGGATGCTCAACCGCCTAGTTGGAGGCCGACGTAAGGTAGGCAGTTAATCATGCACGGAAGAGGGAAGGAAAAGCGCCGGAGAGGAGTAAGAGGGTAAGGATAGCTGGAAACAAAATTGACCGACCACTTATTTGCTAACGTGTTACCATGACGCTCGCGGACCGGGAATTTGTGATAAGCAATCGATGCCTGGCGGACTTTTCACAAGCAAGACCTTGTAGCGCTCGAGATTGCACAGAGATGAGCCACGAAGAGCGTCAAATGTTTGTTCAGTCTTCCTTAGCAACTTAGGCTGATGACTCTAAAATTATACAGCAGGCTGTATAGGCACCTACGTGGTGACCAGTGTTGCTTACCAGATACTGAGGAACTCTAATCTGGTCTGTCGTCACCTACTATAACACAGCCACAACAAGAATTTGAGAGGCCGCCAGTTCAAGTTAGCCACGCACTTCGTGTATGCCAGCCATGAAACGCCCTCCAAATTTATCTTGTTTCTGCTATTAATTTGCACGTGTTTATTAGTGCTTTGATTTGCGTTAACGCACATACTTTGATAGATATATCCTGTACGTTACAACAAAACATATAATTTGGCGAACGTCATAAAACCAGAATCCATCTACACAACTGTGGACGGCTCATCCTGCATAATACTTTGTGAACACTGTGGGGCGTTCACCAAAACAATTGTCATTCTATCCCTTATACTTTTATTCCACATCTTGTTATTCTCATTAAGGCCGCCCTGCAGGATTCGTTATGCACTCTTTTTGTGCCCGTATTATAACAATGCATTCTTTTACCCTATTTACCTATGGGCTCAGTATGACAATCAACCTACATTTTTACAACTTTAGACATGGAAGAAAGCTAGATGAATATAATCTTGGCACTGACCAATCATCCAAAACAAAATTGGCGTCCACAGGCATATGCTGCCCAGGACCAAAAGTTCCACATTCACATAATTCACTCCCACGCCAAGGTTAGAACAAAATAATGGACCTTGGTGTATCCAAAGAGAAATCGGCATACAGTTTCCTGCCATATTCATGATTAATCGGATCCACCCAATGTTATTAACATTATGGAATTCCGAAGCCTTGGCTTATAAACCTGTACATAACTAGGTACCAGTCAAATTGCTGCATATGTAATCTGAAGGAAACACATTTATTTGTGATATTTTGTATTTTTCTGCAAACAAATACTTTGTTAGGCGACAATGGATTGGAAATTGTCTTTGACATAAAATACGCGTTGATAACTAGGGTTAACTACGATTGTTGCAAAGGACTCACCATGCGTGGTTGACAAAAAATTGACGCTTCCGGTTAACTCATGTGTGCCGGCTTGCGAACCGGTGCTTCTGACTCCGACTGTCGTATCTGCACAGGGATATGCAAAGCAGGAAATTGAGTTAACAGCGGACGGAACGGCAATTGAGCCACAGGGAACACGTTGATAAAATCAGTGTTTGCTCATGTGATTTCACATGGCAGTTCTACCTCTCATGCTGAATAAGTATTTCAGGAATTATATTTGCTAATTTCTATAACCCTATACAATAGCGGCAAATGATAACATGCAAGTATCGACGTATTGACGTTTGTAAATTTAGGTAAGTCAAGAGCATTCTTTAAGTCGAGGAGAGCATTTGTGGGTTGAACATACTTTGGCAATTCTATGGAATGTTTTTCGCTTAATTTGGCTAAAATTATTTGGTAACTTAATGTTATAATGATTGGTTGTCTACATAATTTTACTTAAAATGTGAATGTAGAGAAGCTTTGATACAGGAATTATTCCAGTAATTATCATCCGCAGGAGTACATTCGAAAATGCATTGCTAGAACACAAGTGTTTATAAAGCACATGCATTAAACCACAAATTTACTGCTGAAATCAATAGAAATTGGGTTGAATTTAGTAAGTTGTCGACATTAGAAACGTCGCGTCTAAATAATTGCTGAAGCTAAGGAATTTTCTTAAGATGCAACTACCGTTCCGGACGTGGAATTTCGGTTATGGTAAGTCGATTGGTTCACCAGCATTTACCAACGGTAAGGCTTCATGGCAAACTTCTACACGATATATGAATACAAGCAACGGCGTTAATAGATCGATTTGACAAACAGTTCTTGACAATGAACCACAACGCAAAACACTTACCTAGAGAAACGTTCGTCTGATTTCCTTCCGTCGCATCACCGCCGGTATGCGACCTCATCACCGCAACTGTGGTTGCAGGTACGGTGTTAGTGGTCGATGCGTCTGCGTTAAATTGTCAGAAACAACGGCAGCATGCGTGAAAGTTAGAAAAAGTGCAGACATTAACCACGGGAATTGAAGGAAGATCAGAATAATTTATTTTAAACTCACATTAAAGTTAAAACAGAAGATTTTAAAAAAGCACCACAAAATATTGACAGGAATTTGCTGCAAATCCAGCCTTTTTGTGTATGCATATCTGCGCATCCTTGATTTCGATGGGAATAAATTTCGTATTGCTCGGCAAAAAAATAAAAAAAACGACAACACCGAGGCGAGAAGTAAATTTGCACCTGATCTCGTGATTGCATTCATTGCCTTCTCATGTTAGCAGTTTCAGAGAAGTGATGATTTCGGTGTAATTATTCACCACAACAATTACGGCGCCCGCGGGACTTAAACATCTGATGTTTAATGTTGCCTTATATCAAGACAATCAAACGATCTGTGGAAGAAAGCAGAATACGAAATGCTGAGCAATTGAAGCGAAATTGGAACGAAACCAGCCGTGCCAGAAGTTCGATACGCACAGGCTAGCTTCAGGGGATGATTTGTGTATGACACAAATGTAGACTTGGGTTGATTAAGCAGATGTCTCTGCACACCCAATATTTAGCCTACCATAAAAATAGCATTGTCAAATGCAAGGCCACGTCAATCATCATTCTGCATTTACTCCTTCTCTGCTTCTTTTAAAACCAGTCAAGAAAATTCCTTTATACATTGCTGTCCGACTCAGCGATGCTGATAAACGACTCCTCAACCGTTACGTCAATTTTACTCACCTGAGTTTGGTGAGATACGTCAAGAGTGTTGTTAAACATTAAGCAAACAGTTTTGCCTTCCTTGAACTAATCTGTGATTTTCATTATCATTTGCCTTACCAATTGTTCACTAATCCATTTTGAATGCGTGGAGACAATGAAAAATTTGTTAATTGCCCTTCCCAGCAAAAATACTCACGAAGCACAGGTTCTTACTTGGTCAACAAAATTGCAAGTGCAGAAATATGTCTTATTTCCTTGGCTTTCCTTTTCATCATGCATACATTCTCGGTGTCCACAACCTGTAAAATTTCGCCTGGTGAGAGAACGGATATCATCCAATATTCAAGCTAGAATATCAACTCGCCTATTTTTAATTACGCTAACTGCAATTTCCTTCTATTACAACTTGCGGATCGCAAGCTCCAGTAATGACTGTGCACGAAATTTACCAGATTCCTGCTTACATACTTTTGGATCTATTTTCCACCAATCTCTGAAAACGTCCGCAGTCGACAACACAGGCTTTCCGCTTGAAGATATCTTGCAGCTTAAACCAACCTGGGCCTCCGTCGAAGGAGGATACAAAGATCATACATGCAATCTTAGCTCACTGCTTTGCAAATCTTCAGGAAACCAGTGTGTACTTAGCCTCGTCCAAGATAGCTTAACTCATTGAATTCATGATAGACGTGCTGAATGCAAGTAGCCCAGAGCCAGTTAAGCATCGCTAGCATTTTATGGCCAATCTTAACAGGCTACTGTCAGACATACATAAAATCGTTTTACGTGCTATCATCGTGCCGATGTTTGGTTGCAATGCCAATTCCTGAATTTCGCGCTAAGGTTAACCTCAGAATTACAAACATTTCCTGCCGCACTCATGCTGCCACATCACTTTCATTTGCTTGCGTAACAACGTTCGCAGTACCATGGTTACTTGACTTCGCACTTACAAATGAAGAACTCATGGTTGACAGACCATTTATAGACAATACACTAGGGTTAAGCGATCATGTCACCATACTTTATGCGTGTTACACTGAATATCCGGACGAACACCCAGAAGGAATACGTGCTATCACACAATAAAACTTCTGGATTAGGAAGTTGAGAAGACCGATTGAAAATCTTGAGAACTCTCTCTCATGACAGCGACACTATACGTGATTGTGCATCAGTTGGGTTTTTTAATTCGTTAACTGTATGGAACATATTTACTTATTATATCTTTTTTAGTTCCACATATAATTTCTGTTGTTTTAAGGCAACACATTAACAGTTGTTTTTGACAACGAGTGCGCTTTGATAGCAGGTTTACCTAAAGATATTGCAAATGAATCGTCAAGCTTCTTGAGGAATAGATCGACGCTTCTGTTTAACTCTTGTGTGACGTCTTGCAAACCGATGCCTCGAAATTCGGCTGTCCTATCTGTAGAGAGATATTCAAAAGAGAAGGAGAAATTTAGAGCAGACAAATCCGTAATTACGCTACATGGAACGCGTTGATAAAAGTGTGTGCTCATGTGATTTCACAAGATACTTCTACCACTCATGCTTACTAACTCTCTCAGGAATTACATATTCCGATTTCTCTGACCGCATATGATAAGTGCAATTTTGTTTGGGTGTCTTAGAAAACGGTCCACCCACCGCTTTGTGTGCACTTGATTCCCCAAATAGAGCGTGCTTATGTTTGCCTGTAAAGGAGTGTGGGCGGGCTCCGTCGATGACACGTGGCTCCCATCCGCATGCTACCCGATCTTATTCCTTCGGGTTTACGCTGGATTCGGGGTGCGTAGAAGGAGGTGTGGGTGGTGCAGCACAAGCAATCTTTGGACCTTCTGTAGATGCAGGTGACCTGTGGCTGGCCACAGTGACGGACGAATTCGGAACCGGATGCCACCAACCATTGAGAGATTTATAAGGTTTGGTTAAGAGCGTACTTTAAGTAGAGGCGGGCATATGTGATATATCATGTAGGTTCAAGCTTCTTCCATAAAAATATTCAAGTTATTGCGCTTAATTCGGCTAACACTCTTTTAGGCCAATGTTTATTTTATTGATATTTTGGGATGTTTTCAATGTTGATATCTGTACCTTTGTATTATTATTGTAATACGTAGTATTAGATATAACTGTTCTTAAATTACTTGATTTTACTATATTCCAGTTGAAATGAGATTTGCACAATTCCGCAGTGTAGTTATGTTGACGTTATTTGATATGATTTTATTCCCTATATTTTTAACCCTATTCGCGGAAACCAGGTTACGTCCAACACTTTCTTTTGTAGCAAACGAATGTTTTCTATTATTGCCACGGTTCTGATTGGTAGATGATTTCCGTGAAACTGTTCGTCCTATTATTTGCAGGAAAATAAAATATCTGAAACTTCAGTGATGAATTTTTGAGTAGATTTTGGTCAATATCAACTGGCACTTACCATGTGACCTGGACCTTAATGCTGCTGTGTCCGTCTTTGTTCTTTCCGTTGTAGGTAATAATGAGTTTGTCGGTTTCACCGACTTTTCTGAATGTATATTCCCTATAGTCAAGAAGGATACGCAGACACGTTTTAAAGCTAAGATACTTTTTAAATTCGTAAAACCTGCGTAAATTTTAAATTGTTTATGCCCTGTTGGAAATGTTGCTTTGCCTTCTCTAAGAGGATTATCGCTGCAACGTGTCGACAGTCTATATGTGTGAGATGTTTTGCTGGTTTAAACTTCCAAGCGCCAGAGTCAATTAGTGCCGCATTTAACTCAATCTAGTGGAAACCAAATTCACCTTTTCATGAAGTTTGTTAGTAGCAAAGCCGAATATATATATATTTGGTTATATTTATATTTATATATATGTGAACGGGATTACAAAATACTGATTGCTTGCGCGTCGTGGCTTCCATCATAATTAATTAACAGCGTGTGACATTCAAATTCCTTGTTGGCTGAACGTAGTTCTGTAAATCAGCACGAGTTAACTAGGAGGAAGTTCCCATCTCCGCACACTAAAACACTGCCATTCGTAGCGTATATATTGGTGAACTGAATACACCATTGTAAGAATTAAAATTTGCGGACAAGGTGGATTTTAATTATAAAGCAGCTATTAAGGACGCATCGATTACAGGGATGAAGTGTTACTAAAATTCCATTTGAAATCAGACCTTTGATGTCGTAAGAGATTTTGTGATATCTACATGGCAGAAACAAGTTAGCTCAAATTTTATTGCGTTTTGACAAACCGTACCTGTATGATCGTTCATAGTAATATCAGGTTATATCGCGCTAACGTCCGTCTGTTTCTTTACCGGTAGCAAACGTATACGCGCTTGGGATATTATAAGCGTCTCACTATTCATCTTTAGTTGGTGTTCAGAATCGTGGATTAGAAGGGACAAACCTGAAATCCTCGTCGAACAGTCGGCTGAAATACTTGGACATACCTTAGCAAAATATTTTTGCTACCACATGTGAAGAATCGCAGTTCCTTTTCAAAGTGCCCGACATGTTTAGGACAGATTTTCGTCTTATATTTGTTCCATGGGGAGGTTCAGAATAAAGTAGCAGAGAGAGCCAGTTCTTAATTTCCTAGTAATATACAAATTCATCTAGAGAGCAAGGACAGTGGTTGGGCTGGTCACCGGATAGAACGTATTTGTCATGCTGCAAATAATGATCGCATGCGTTGTTTACCGTCTGAGTAGAATGCATCTATTACATCCAAATCCGTTGAGCGTACAGAAGAGTAGACAATAGTCATCACATTGCTTGTGGAGTTTACATCGAGTCCGCCAAGGTATGTTGCCATACTGAATTCCGCAATAACCTTCGCACCGCAAGTACTACCGTCCAGTACGCGAAGCCAGGAACTAAAGGAGTTCAACTATCAGAAATCGTAAAGCGATTGATTAGTATGAGGAAGCAAATGTTATGCAGTTCGGACATGTTGCACGTTATTTTTAAAAGGTTCTTCGGTCACTTATATATTGCTTCTAAACAAAGTACATGCGAATAAGCACCTTAACCGTATTTCAAGTAGCCTATACCAGTTAGGTCCATGTGTTTAATGCGGAAATGGACGTGAATACTAAAAATATTATTAGTAGCATTGAGCCAGTTAAAGGATATAATTTTCTACATTTTACCAGTTACGACGAATTTTATGTGTCCTCTGGGCGACCATATTTCTATGTAAATTCTTCTGGTTCTCGAACGTCTATGCTTACGCATTCAACTTACCACCAAACGCTTGAAGCTTAGGTGTACTTGCCCTCCATGTGGGACCGTTATTCGCCAAACACACAGCACGTCGCTGCCCCGTTTTCCCACGTACGAAAAATTTCCGGCAGTGCCATTCAACTCTTTCCCACAATTCTCTGCAAAAATATTGACCACAAATGATGACTGGAATAAATCCGTTTCCTAAACATATATTCACCATAATCATTGTAACAAATTTGACGGAAATTAAATGTGGTATTTTGACTTTCTATGCAAACGCAACGAAGCTTCTCTACATCCCAGCTACAGTCGATTTTACATTGTTAATGTCATGCGTACGATTCATTTATTCCAGTAACAAGACTGAAAAAATAAAGTGCGTGCAGAGTAAGTAGTGTCCATTTTAATCATATCAAAAGTTAGTGTTGAGTAATATACGTAGACGGAAAGCTTATCTATTAATGGACAACTGCTTGTTAAAGACGGGGTCTATGAGTCACCTCGATTGCCAGACTTTTAACAGCGTGGTCGCTTCTCAGTTACTGAGTAGTTTTTCTTAGCTCGCAGTGAGTGAATTGGTAACAGTACCATTTGTCGTGCGAGGCGACGCTCCATCGTAAACAGAATACATTGGTACCGACAAACCACTGTCTCATTTTATAAGTAAGTGTCAGTGCCACCTCAAACAGAACGACAGTAAATACCATGCTACCAAACTGAATGCATGGAGATCAGACAAGTTCCGCAGAAGTGCAATGGACCAATGCACGAAACGAAAAGCACAAACGACATGCCAGTCAAAACTCACGAAATATTGAACTGTCATCTGTAATGACGAATGGAGGTTTATGTTTGCATAAGCACGGATCTGAGTTAATAGTGTGTCAATTATACATTTTGATATGCACACAACAGTCTACAATGTTCACCACGGTTGTTAATGGAATCTGTAGTCTGGTATGTAGGGTAGAATGTAAGCAACTCAACGACCTACTTGCTGGAGGCTTTGCTTCGGTTGGATCTGTGAGTAGAGGGAAAAGTTACGATACATGAATTTAAGGCCATAACGTATGAAACATCTTTAAATTACAAACCGTTAAACTAGCGCCTGTTAGCAGAAATGGTACCAGGTTGTTAAATCCTTGTTTTAAGCAAATGCATCAGTTTTATTTCCGAAACTAGGTACGGCTGGCATTTGTGACTCATTTGACGTTAATTTCAATTTAACCGTATCAGTGTCAGCGGAAACTAAAAGGAAATAATTAAATTAACCACAATCGGATTTACCGGATTAATCTAGCAAATACAGCTTAGGAACCAAGCGAACTTATATAATACCAATGCTTCAAACGCGCATAACTACCCAGCAAAATTATCAAGTTCCGATATTCGTAATGGATAGCACGGCATTTAGTTACTTTCCTATCCTTTTGTGTTAACTTTTAACATGACCGCTGGATCAAATTACTAGAAATAACTACGTAATGTGCACAGAAACCGCGCCTGAATATTCACTGCGTGATTGAGCTTTTTCGCGTAAGAAAATATCGGAGCAACTTAAATGCACCGCCTTGGATCCATGGAATTCATTTTGATGCATTCTAATCACACTGCGGCAGATCTAAGCTTCAACATAGTCTTCTATAACTGCGGTTATCTTTAATCTTTAAGCTAAGGTACAACAGCGATAATCGTGTTATTCACCCTCTAAGTAATGCAAGTACCAAGAGCTTTTGTCCTATTTCTTAACTGATTTTATAGTGAACCGTATTGCTCTTCTGTAATCATATAGTTAATAAGTTTACCAGAGTTTTAAAACCTGTAATAAGGCAGGCATTAGCAATAGGCCGAAGACGAATACCATCACATCGCTGTCAACCGACTGCCATCGGTTGCGCTTGGACTCCGTCACCCAGCACTTACACGGATTTCAAATACTGATCACTGGATTACAAGGCAACACAAGATATATTCGGTCAAGCATCAGCAATCGTTAGAAAAAGCGGAAAACTATACAGAATTTAGCTTGATATCCACGGAACTACGATAGCAATAGCAAGGTATATGTAACCAGTGTTATGAAAGTCAAAGTTAAGCGCGCTCTTTGGATAGGAATTCCATTGGTGCCAATGAAAAGGTCGTCAGATTGGTTACTTACTCATCCAGTCAACTGAAACAAAGAGGACGGGGAGAAGAGATGTTGCTATACGAGTTCCGCTGCATCAAACTTAAAATCAAACTAATCAGCTGTGGGCACTGCATCAGTGTCTCATGTAGGCATATGGTGTATTGCTGGATATCGTAAAGTGCAAAGACCGTCCTCATGAATAAAATAAGTTTGTGTCATCAGTTTACTTTCCATTGAATTTGATGATTTGACATTCAGAATCATGGTGAGGATAAGTATTATCCTGATAATGATCACAAGCTTGTTCTCATATTCCACCATCCGCGATAGTGCAACTTTACTCTTGTTCACAGGCATCAGTATAGTAACAACCACGATGTGAGCACGTGTTTCAGGTTTGTGGTCAGCACAGTTCGTTAGAATAACGCAGTAAGAAGACGAACAGTGGCAGATGTCAACACTTTGTATTGTCTCTTCAGTGTCAACACAATAAAATGCAAATATATAAGACGACAGGTAGGGCGAGGCCGGAACAAGTTAGAACAGGGTAGGGGGCACGCGTGATACACTGCTCCTAGAGAGCCGTCGGCTCACGAACAGCTGCTACTGCACACAGAGTGCGGGTTTCACACGGATGATCGCGACTGCCTTTGCGAAAAGTAGGAAATGGGTATCAATATGCCTTAACACGATTATAAACATTTCGACCGCATCAAACTGATGACAGGTAGCCAATAGATGCCTTCCTATGGATGAAGCAGGTGGCTTACGTGAACTGGTGGTATGAGCAACCGATGACTGGGTGATTTGACGCTGCAAACAGTTAGGTAAATGTTCCCTTATACTGGAGATTAACGATCTATTGGTACGGCCGATTTAGCGTATATCACAACTACAAGTAAATTGGCAAATACAATGTGAGTTGGCGCCAATAGGTTGCCTTTCCCTCATTCGCGTAATAGGTATTCGATGGTCCGGTTGATAAGAACGTTTTCAGCAGCATAATAGGTCCCTTGGACTGGGAAAATTATGCGCTTCGTTTTCCTCATGCTGGCAAAATCACTCTTAGATGGTAGTTCAATGTAGATGTTTTTAGACACTGTCGAAACCTGTCCCAGGCCCCTCTCCTTACTATGTTTGTCTATGAATCTTCTTGGAAAGCCATTTTACAAAAGCGTAACCTTGCTGCTGAAAGTGTCCTTATGAACTAGGCTAATCGAATGATTGTTACGCCAATGAGGAAAATGCAATCTATTCGCACCAACTCAAACTGCATTTACCAATTTAAGCGTAGTTATGATATACGCTACATCGGCTGTACTAATAAATCATTTAACTCCAGGATAAAAAAACATGTACCTGGATGGTTGCAGCATCAAATCACTCAGTCGTCCGTTGCTCATACCACCAGTTTATGTAAGCCACCTGCTTCATCCATAGGAAGGCATCTATTGGCCACCTGTCATCAATTTGACCTGGCCAGAATGTTGATAATCGTGTTAATAGATGCTAACACCCGTTTCCTAAATTCGCAGAGGCAGTCGTGATCAGGCGTATGAAACCCGCACTCTGTGTGTGAGCCTACGGTTGACATGGACGTAGACGTGCCAAGCCTGCTCCCTACCCTGTTCTAACTTGTTCCGGTCTCATCCTAACTGTCGTCTTATATATTTTCATGTTATTTTGTTGACATTGAAGAGACAATACGAAATGTTGACGTCTGCCATGGTTCGTTTCCTTACAGCTTTATTCCAATTACTAAAGTGATCTAATGTTTCAAATTTGTAAGAAGCAAAATGTAACAGTTTTTTTGCTCTTTACAGTTACTATGTGGGTTGTAGCAATTCGACTGAGATCCATATTAAGGGGGAACTCATGGTCTCGCAACGGACATTAGATTGACTGAACACTAACCTAGGGACCCTTGATGTGTTCGGCTTTCCAGATTGAAACCCACACGATTCGCCTCGCACTGGTTTGTGAACTCTCAGCACTCGCTACTGTCACCTACTCGGACAGTTTAATGAACTGTTCCCTAATGACCCCCATAAGAGGCAGGTTGGAAAAACGAGTAGGCGCAACTGTTGCATTGAAATGTCTATCTACCAATGCTTCTACATGGGTGGGTAAATCTATTTTGGCGGCACGGCTATCCTACCGTTACAATGAAGGCCGGCTACTCGGGACCATGTGCTACAGACGCCTTGATAAGTTATGCGTGTATAGCATAGTTACGTTTATTTCCCGATATTCATTCCGTCCTTCGATACTGCCGATTTGCATTATCTTTTTTTGATTAAGTAAATGATTCTCGGCTTTTGGAGCACCCACCGTTTGCTTTGGATTGAGACACGTAATATGAATAGTGGCCGTGGTTGGCTTTGAAGTCAGGCTCTGCGAATACGGTCACTGGGACCGTCACCAAAGTGGAGGGATTAGATTTGGCTCTCGCCCATCTCTGCACTCCACGACTGAAGATTTCTTCTTGGTTAAAACCCATAAGATAGAGATAGCCGAGCTTTTAGTGTAACACAGCGTTTAGTGCTTGGCGATTCTCACCATGATCACGAGGCCATTGAGCTCCGCCAGCAGTACTTGACACACCGAGAAGAAGTTGAGTTGCGGGTTTTAGAGTAACCGCCAAGCTCCATTCCCAGCTCGGCTATTTCTACCTGATGATTAGCATCCAAACGATACCGTCCGTCGTGGGGTGTAGGGAAAGAGGAGAGCCACACCTAAAACCACCATTTCGGTGACGTTCACAGTGATCGTATTGGCAAAGGCCGACTTCAAATTCAACCCAGGCTACGACTGAGACTGCGTTTGCACTCTAAGACACATGGTGGGTGCTCCAAAACCCGAAAATCAACCTAACCGCTGTGTCAAGCATTGCTCTTGGAGCTCAATAGCTTGATGATCATTGCGATAGCCGCCAAGCCTTATGCGCCGAGTTCCAACCCTAGCTCGGCCATCACTATTTGATCCTCATTAACAAAATATGCCTGTAGACTAGATTTGACTGCATTGTATTAGCTACCGCGCAAGCCTCATCAGGTAGTATGCAATAGATTCCCATACATATTTTTACATCATTTCACTATCTTATGTAATACCTAGCTTACCAAATAGCAGAAATATTAATGCCACTATCTGTGTGGATATATTCGAAAATAGAAGAATAAGGAAGAGACGAATTCGTGAATGTTATTATCCAAGACGTTTCTATGGGAAAACGATATAATGATTATTGCAAATTAAGTAATTAGGTTCAGTTGATACAACTTCGAATTTCTTTGAGCAATGAATATGGAAAATGTGATTTTCATCACACACGTAGCCAATATTTCAAATTTCCACTGTCTGAATACTCTCCTAAAATTTATTCTGCTGATCTGTTAAATGGTGTAAAAAATTAAAAGTCAGGCAGTCCTTCTAATCATTACATTTGACGTCATTTATAGCCTAAGCAAACTTTTTTAGAAAAACTGAATTTTAAATAGTTAGTTAAGGATCAGCTTTTGCAACGATCACCATGAGATGCTGTATGGTTGTTCATAGTTTTTCTAGTGTCAGCTTTTCATCTGAACACTAGTTGAATGACGTAATTGGAACCAACGTACTGCCGCTGCACGACACTTAGTCTATGGAAAAAGACATGGAAAGCAAAGCAATCGAATAGTCGATATTACACATTGTACCCACAGAAGCAGTTATAGCATTGGGCTGCTTCTAATGAAAGACAAGTCCAGAATTAATTTTATGTTTGAATAAAGCATTAAGCTGACTTATTAACCTTTTCGTAACATTAGCCACAGCTACAGCATTACTTAGTAAATAAAAAAATTAGATGGTAGTTTTTCGATGAATATTATTGAGTCGCAGAATGAGCACGCATATGGAAATCTGGAGCTTAGTATTTTTCTTCATTATAAAGGTAAACCTATCCATGTAAATATATAGAATGTAAGGAACCATTGGTTCAGTACACCATTATACGTTATACGTTATCCGTTTTATGCATGTAGGCCAAAACTGAGGTAGACCTGAAAAATTGTCTAAATAAATGAACTAACCCAGTGGTTGCGTAAGCTCGACGTGGTTGATTTGGTTCCATTGGATCTTCCAACAGTATAAATAATCAACAATGGTTCATTTCCAGAAAATTAGACGAGACTTAGTGAACACTTGCCTGCGCCCCACCCCGACTGACATATGTTATGGAGCGTCTATAATTTTGCATCAACAAAAATTGAACAAGTTTGAGTATGCTTGCGAGTAAAGACTGATTTTACTCCCAATAATCGATATCCTGAAAAACATGATAGAATTTAATGAATTTTTCTATTTTATACAAAATTGCAGATAGCTTACATCGTGTTGATAGTGCTTCACAATGGCCGCTTATCAATTTAGTGAAAACCTGACTTACCTGCAGAGTAGTCAGCCTTGAATCCCCACGAACCTTCCTCACCCTCTGTTATTAACAATGCTGTAATTCCTTTTCCAGATGAGATGAACTTCGGAGTATCCGTTCGTCGCAACACACCGATCCTTTTGGACATGCAGTCAGGACCATCAAACACAAAAATTCTATCCCACACGGAATCCAGCTGGAAGGGAGTGTCATTTTAATGGAAATTTTACCAGCCTTGCCGGTCACAATGTTATTAGTGTTCATACGCACACTGCATATAAGGCCAGATGCTATAATTTCGCAGAGGTGTGAACCCGCTGACTGCTACACCTCGTCTAGTGACATGGAATGTCTAATATCTTAGTAAATTTCCAGTCTAGCAAAATGTTGCAAATATGAGGGGATATAGTGGAAATTACTGATGGCTACGGCGGAATCTCATAACTGTATAGGGCCCATGGTTAGATCCAGCACGTGCTTGGTTATTGCATTCATATCCCGGCAAATTATTGCACAGGTTGTGGCCTTCAAGAGGACAATTAATGGAGCTGCGGAACTTGGATTGTAGACAATCTGGTGAATGAAAGATATTCCAAGCGTGACGTTGCATCCAACCAAACTGCGCACAAATCCGTAGGCTTTGATGAAATTCCGATATGCGCAATTTACCGGCAGCGCTATGTTTGACTATCTATTTTGGTCATACTGCTAAATATATTCATCAACCGGGGCTTCAATTGCTTGTTCAATGGAATGTGGTTTTCCACAGAGCTCAGTGCTGAGACTGCAGTTATTCCTGGTGTTTATCCACCATCTAATAATGGTTATGTCTTTCAATTTCCCGTTTATGTCGATGAGGTTACGATATGATAAGCCATTCTTGGCAGGAATGAGCACGCTTTTCGCAAATGTGACCTGGATTGCGTTCATGAATGGTCAAAAAGGAACCTAATTCAGTTCAGCACAGCTAAGCGTAAGTTGATCCACTGGAGTCATCAACCGGTGAGTGTTGGCAAGCTGTGAGGATACATCTTGCAGAAAGTTTGTCGCAAACTTGACTTTGGGATAGAGGTAAATAAAAATTCTGGTTGCTCTAAATTAACAGTGTAGTCGTCTGGAATCAGTAATCAACACGTTGGCCTTCTTCGTTCGGCTTTCTATTTAACTGAACTCTCAAACTTCCCACAAATGTTTAACAACTAAGGGCGACTGCACGTTGATCCAGCTTTCCATGCATGATATCAATAGCAGAAACAGGATCTCACTTCTTTCGATACTGTGCAACATAGGGCAACCAGGACCGCTAAGGACCTCTTTATCTGACATATCCGCTTAAATTTAAATCTATGCAAATAAACAACAGACCATTTCGGCGATTGGGGGCCCTCGTAATGGTTCGTCATATTCTGAATAACCTAAACCACATTATAGCTCCTATAATCGAACTGAAACTCAATACTAAGGTAAGAGGTCACTCTTTGAATCCGACAATATGCAATAGCTGACTAGAATGTCCCATAAATGTTTTGCATTTATACGGCGTCAACCATGGAACGCTCTCCAAAAGTATCTTGACTCCTCCTTTAACGTCGTGATATTTTAAATAGATTTGATGAAGAGCTGTCCCTTTGGCAGCCTACTATATAACATGTGTTAGCTCTAGGATACAAAACGCAACCAAACGGCATGTTTCCAAGATCTTAACCAGATGAACTATATTTTTAGCACGCGAGAATCTCAGATCTTCTACGAAGTCTAAATACGGCCACTAAACTGCGCACCAAAATGTATATCATGAATAATTATTGTCTCAGTAACTTCCATCACACGGATATTGTTAATTATTGCTCATTTCTTCGTAAGATATCCTTCTTTTATTGTTCCCTTGTTGCAGTAGGAAAACGCATTTCGCGATTTGCTGATTCCCAAATTGACCATCGTGTAGGTCTTGATAGTTATTGGCTCTTCTTAATACTAGAAAGCCATTGAGGTCATTCCTTCACAAAGTTGTTGGAATATAATAATTTTTGGAATTGGATTTTATCAATTGCCTTCAGCAATTAGAAATGTACAGTAAATAGACGACAGATGTCTGAGGCGAGCGTAATTTAGTGTTTCCTCAGTACCAGTAGAAATAACCCATGAAAAACTTTACAGATGTTGGATGTAATCAACCAAAGTAAAGAACTTGGGGATCAAGATGGTCGAAAGCGATTGAGTCTTTGTATCCACAGAAACCGGAGCCTGACAAATAACTGCTTGCATATGCACAGCATTGGATGAATTCGACTTATCGCGATAGTCGCAGTGAACCGAAGACACCGCAGGTTTGCATTCCACAGCAACCATTTGAATGCGAAATCGAGCAGGATCCGGTGACAAGTAATCAATGGATGTTTACCTATGGAGGACGCCAGCGGCTTGCGCATAGGTAGGGCTTGAGGAGGAGAGGATATTTCTTTTATCCCATGCAGGATCCACTTCGGTACGTATGTTTCATCCTGAAAGACAATACTCCATCTATTCTGCCAGCGTAACTGGCTTCGAAGTTGGATGTGAATTAGCAGACATGATGAGTGTTGGTGCAGACTGGCAGAGCGTCCTTCTGATGGGGCACCATCAACTTGCTGGTTCAGTTGTTGATGTCGACCTGAACAGCATGGTAGGTATTATGCGCAGTAGCGGGCAGGCGCTTAGGGGTTTTTAACCTGGTGAAATCACCTTTGATAGGTAATGCGTATAAAGTTCTTCTTGGCTGCCACCTGTACCAAGTCCTTCGGTCTTCGTAGTTGCCTGTGCTCCTCTACAAAACATTTGTCAGTAGCTGTTTGTCATCGTTGTGGCTGCAATTCATTCAATATCATCTGTTAGACAGTCTGCCGAGCATAGTTATTACTCAAGGCTATATAAGGTCTTCACAATTGTCCGCTTATACCTTATTCGTGTAAAGTTTGCGAAATGTCGGACCATGTTGCCTTTTGGTAGACGGATCTCTTAATCTGTTCGTTATCTGTGAGACTGATGTGAAAATCCAAGAATGACAGACAATTTTCTCGTTCTAGCTCGCAGGTGACATGTAAGTTAGTATGCGAACCATTGAAGAGCTCAGGCAACTGGGCGATATGCTACTCTGATGGGCAAAAAGCCAAAAGTTCATCAACCTAGCGCATGTAGCATAGCAGCTGGTCTATCTCTGTGGACATTCTTTTCTCGACCATAAGTAGAGAGAAATTAGCCAGTGAAGGGCTCATTTGTATGCCGACTGCTGCCAAATCGACCAGGCGGTATGGCGTATTTTGAAAGAGGAAACCAAAGCTCTCCTTGCAGAAAGGCAGGAATCTCTTAATAACTTGACCGGGATCGGCACTGAGCAGACAAAGTGTTCAGCTAGTTCGCACACGTAGTCCACCGTCTCATGTAGAGGGAAGTTAGTGAAGAGCGATAGCACATCCAGGGAACACATAATTTTGTCTGCCATGTAGATAGCATCGTTGTCTTCACTAAATTGAAACGAGTCTTTTGAATGTACGCGTTGGACATTTGTCTCAGTAGAACTGACACATTAACATGTACTTGATAACAAGTATATCTATAGTAGGGCTTTAGGACCTTCTAATCTGTAAACAAGCAAGCCCATTGGTATCAATTGATATAATCTGCAAAAGACTAAGCCCATAAAACTTACATTGGCGTTGGTGAAATTCAAAGCGACTTGCTTGTCCGACGCAAAGTCAATTTTGTAGTTGCAGAACCTACGGGGTCCATACCAAGAGGGATATCCAGGGCTATATATTGTTCCCTTTTCTTTCAGCGTGAATGATTCGCTACATGTCAGGTTTGGTACAATATCTACGAGGGAGTGAGAACGAAATAAAATCCACTTGTGAAATTGTTTCACGTACGTTTCAATGATGATTACGCAGCATTTGTTTAAAGTAATCAATTGTTTTTTGCCCACGGCCGTATTTTAACCGTATGCAGACTTTGGTCAGAGCAGTGACGCAAAATTGTGTTGGGGTATTGATATATTTGGACTTAGGCAGCTGAGTATGTTTACTGAAATAGTTACTAACAAATCAATGTGTATAAGATATTTAGCTCGTTTAGAATAGACTGAAGAATCGACAAGGTATATCTATGATATATGTGGTTATTAATGCTTGTTATACGAAAAGTACCGAACGTCTATCAGATCAAGCAATTATCAATTACTCAGGCCATACACTTAATGATACAGCAATAACTTATCTTCCTGTCCTACAATGCAGTGATTTCAATCTGTTTTCTCCTTAAGCAAAACAGCCTATCAACCTATTTGAAGTTAACAAAAGTAATCTCATCAGCATTTTGAAACGCTTCATCTATAAAATAAAGATACGGCTGTTGCATCCTCACACAGCTTTTGACAAAACTTGGTGGTTCCAATTTGTTATCGCCACATAGAAGTGTAGAATCATGCATCTTAAACGTGAATTACCAAGAACAACAAATAAAATATCGAGGATTCCAAATGTTTGTGTAAAACATGCATGTGTAGCAGGCCGGTAATTTATGTGAGGAAGCTTTACGCATCCGATTAACTGCTGATTATTATTTGTTTATTGTTAACTAACTGGGGACGGATCAAACAAGCATTTGCGTTGCATGAAGTAGAATTTGCGCTTATAATTATAGAATGTGGGTTTTGCTAAATAAAACCTTTAATTGCTTCAATTACATGGTCCAGGTGGTTACATTCAAGTTACCACGTTTATCAATGGTTGCAAATAATGGTTTTAACACGCTGCTATAGTTGAGAGCACTAGCTGAGCTATATATATGCAATTGAAAATTACAGCTTCTAGTAGTGGACAAAGATCGTTATCTGGTACGAACTTATACTTATACACATAAATTAATAGCAGATCGAGTGAAATAATCTCTAGGTCAATTAAATCTAAGCGAAATGTTAGAGGTCACTAGACTAAAATTGCGCAGTTCAAAACAAAACTGGATAAGGTAGGACGGGTCATACCGCTCACATTCTTGAGTACTGAGTTCACATAACCCTATGTCGAACGACAGGATCATCGCAAGCGCGATCATTGAGTTCTTCATGGCTTCGGTCACGACCATATGCTAGAACTTGCGAATTTATCTATTGCGAATCTTTACTGTGAACGCCGATAACAAACACCCACGCACAAACCAGACAAATATGCCGCTTAATACACATTGTTTACGTCGTTAAGTGTCATTAGTTGCTTGCTAGACAGCGGAAATTACTGGAGCTCAATTGGAATGTCGAAACCATGTGTGTCCTGTAGACGCGTCTACATCAACAGTAACTAGAAAGTTCGAAATTGACTCAAAGGGCGGTGTTCATCAGGTTACTAGAGGAGGGTTCAGAAAGAAAAACATTGGATGAAAACAGTACTCAGTAATAGAGACTTACGAATGCAATTTAAGGAGATGATTGTCACGAAAACCCGCACGAAAATGCAGCTGCAGTATTTCAGTTTAAGATGGTGTTCGGCTTCACAGCAGAAGCGATTCTTAGACATGTTTAACTTTCGTGTCCAAACTGTAGGTGAACCGGTTTATGGCTAACTTATGGACCAAAACAAAGGATGACTGCTACGGAAGACGGAGTATTCAAGCTGGACGGTGATGTATGACTCGCATCCAAAGGAGTACACTGCACACGCATTTCTACGACGCGTTTACAATATTTTGGTTCACAATTTCGGTTATTCATTCTGCTTTAAGCGTCCTGATCATACGCTGGTGAGCGTACCAAATCGTTACATACTTCTCGTAAATGAGCTTTCAAACTGCTCTGCTCAAAACTTGCTGGATGAACTAAAAATTTATCTGCTGCGAAGAAACTACACAACAATGGACTTCGGAAGCAAAGCTTGAAAACTAACATGTCTACGTAACTCAATCTGAATGTCCGATGGCAAGTGGACACATTAGATAGTCCAGAGGTGCAATATCCTCTCGCGAATTCTCTGCACTTGGCGTCATTATGGTGCAAAACACCTGGCTCTTCGAATATATTGAAATGTGGTCTTGATAATCGGCCCATGTAGAGCCTATTGTGTTGATAATTTGTGTGAACACAGGGAAAGGATGATGGTATTTTCTTAAATATTAATGGTGTACGTAAACAAAAGAATTTTGAGGGACTTCGCAAATCGTCAGCTGTCTACCCGTGAGATGTAATTAAGAACATATCTCACTGTTTTTTGGCAACTCTCCATATCCGGGAGTTCAAAGACTGAGGAGGAACGTCCACACGTAAGTAAATAACGAAAGTAATAAATATATGGCATATTCTAAGTGAAACGTGGCACACCGGTGAAGGCTCCATCAAAGATGCATGCAATCAAAACTGTTATGAAATAGTAAAACCTTTTGTTTCATTGAAGTGCACCAAGGAAATGTTCGTAGTCCAGACGAGTGAGCCTTTTGTCAGACAATAATCCGACCTAGAAACATGATGACATTTTGGCGCGGAAACGTCAGTCATAATTGTTGTGTCAATATTCTAGTTCGGCTTGATTTAGCGATGTGGTAATCCATGAGCACTGGAGCCAAAGTAAAATTTCGGTGCAATAATTGTCCATTACAAGCTCGGAATGTTCGGTGCTCCATCAAACATTCTCCATAGCAAAATTGGTTGCATAAATTGCATGTAGAAGTCTGAAGGCTGCATCATTGTGAAATGATGGTCTGTGAGTTTATTCAGTGGCGAGTCACATCAGCCACGTCGCAATGTTGTTAAGCGAACATTTGTGTCTTTGTATAGGAAGAACACTTGCCCGGCGAAAACTCAACACATCCTGGAACACTGCCGTTGATGTTCTTGAATAGATGGCTTTCCGTTGCCGGTTTCTTAGTGTTTAGAACATATTTGATGACATCGCCGAAATTATCTTAAATTGAGATGCATATAAGTACAATATGGGGTCCGAACAGACCGTAAGTAAAATGCATAATTGTTATATCCCTACCTGTCCTACGGTACTTAACAATATTCTTTTAGACAAATGCGTAAAAATTGTACGACAGAAGTAAACCTCAAATTGATGTGCGCACTATTAAAATACAATTCAAATAGATAGTAGTGTTTCAGTCCCAAGCTGTCGTTAAACTTTTCAGATCCCTCCTAGGTAATGTCTAATAAAAGCTAACATTTGACTACCTAACCATGCTGGGCATGTATAACCACACAAGCGAAACTGATCATCGTAGGTACATAAAATTATAAGTTTAGCTCACGAGGTTTTACAAAGATCTATATATTAACGGGACTAGTTACTCCTTTTGTTCACTGTGTGTGCCCATTCAAATATTCACGTAAATTCTCCTACAGGAAGTTATTGATTCATGCAGAAGCATAACAAGTAAGTGACTACTTGAGAATTAGCATGTGCATGGCACGTATTGAGTATTAAAGAAAATTCCGTCTAAACTGGTTACTATCCACCTGGTTATAATGAATATGATTCAGTGGGTACAACCAAGGAGGCTGGACATTACCGCGGTGCGATAACACGGGTGCCTCAGAGATCCACTGAGCTATGCTGGGTGGTGATTTTCTGCGTGTTCAGAGCCACTCATAATAGAATTATCAATGGTTAGAGGAGAGACAAACTCAACATCCTAGTTCCATAGAATCAGGTTTAAATGAGGATGGCTCCTTATTCATTAAAACGGACTACTTGCAGCCCACTTCAAAACCATCTCACTTGCCGTCAGGTATTTGGTTGTGAAACCTAATCGTTCACCCGTGTAGTCCTGGGCAACGAGACAGTATCCTACCCACGCAATGCAAGACATTTCTCTTATAAATTTTCTAGATCCTCTGCCCATAGCAGAGGATAATAAACGGCTCCATATCTGCTGCATAGAGCAGGGTGAATAGGGGTTTAGATGCGTCCTATTTTCCCTCTTACGCTTTTTCACCCTTATCGCTTCTTCCAGCTTCAAGTTTATCTCTCCGTTACCAGTCTCCTCATACTTGGACCACCCCAACAAATTTGGCAGACGTTTATCCGCTAGGTTAAAATCAATGCAAAGCGAAGCATAATTCCTGCACTGTCGACAAGCCCATATCTAACAATGCTTCTTTTTGAAGCCCTCGATCATCCTTCAGATTGGCATGTCTCATTGTACGCACATATCTACAGGTCGGTTAATAGGCAGCACTTGTTCCACCATTAGAGACCCACTCGATCGACATATACCGATTACCGGAGAATAGCCTACAAGACTCGAGCTCAGTGCTCAGTTTGCAATCCTCTTCCGGTGACACCAACAGCAATTGCTCATTGTACCTATTCGGTGACTATGCAGCTACGAGCACCAGCCAAGCCGGTGTTGGTAATGTCCTGGATCCCTTGGCTGAAGCTGCTCTGGTTGCTTGGATCCCAATCAGTTACCGGATGTGTGCGGTGTGATTGGCTGGCTCGTTCAAAGCTTTAAGTCGCGCAGGACTAACAGTCGTCAATTCGTCATCGCGGCCTAAGCGCCCACAAACTATAGCAATGATTCGGTAAGAGACGATTTCAATCGCCAACTGACACAGCTTCGTTGCCACAGAAGAAGCACGGACAATGTTGTGCTGGTGGGAGATCTAAATGCAAAAGTTGGAAATTTGTCCACTGATGAAATGCAGCTGTGTGGTCAGCACGAGGTAGGCTTTCGTAATGATAGTGGTAAGCGGTTACTTCATTTCTTTGAATGCTCGCTTATTTCTTGCGAGCACTAATTTCCGACACAACACCCGCCGGAAGGTGACTTGGTGTCCATCAGCCTCGAACAAGCTATGTACGCAAATTGATCATATTGCCATCACTTAATGCAGGAGTAGCTGCTTCCAGAACGGTCGCTCGATTTGAAGCACATGTGTTGACATCGGCCATGAGCTTGTATGCACTGACCTGCGGATGCGTTTTGGCGGACGTCCAAGACGACACCGTGATCCAATTGACACCAGCCAACTGACAAAGACAACTGTTCTGAACGCGTATTGAAGTACGCCGGGATTCGGGTTGAGGAAGCACTCACTGGAGACAATTGAAGGTCACTGGTCGCATGCTCATCAGACCTTACTGGCAACTGGCAACACCACATGTGGTAAGTTTAATCGTCAAAGTATATATTAGGTCTCTTCGCAGTCATTAGAACTTATAGTTACTCGCCGGCACATTCCGGTTAGAAGTGAACACAGTGAGACTTGCAAAGAGCTCTGAGCAAAGCCCCGAGCCAGCCTGAAGAGAGACCGCGATTCCTGATTATCTTTTCGTGCATCAGAAATGAAAGTGGCCGGTTCCCTTGGTAACCATCGTAATTTATTCTTTCTGATACGGAAATACGAGCACCAGGTGTCCTGGTGTTAGTTAACCAATTTATGACGAGAGTGGACAGCTTATCCTCAATGTATCAAATCGTTTAGGACGATAGTCTGAGCCATTTGAAAAGCAACTTTATCGGCAGGAATTGTTGGGTTCTTTATCGGCCAGTGATCGCCTTGCTTCCTTGACTGTCCCATTGGATCCGCCCTCGCGCTCAGAAGTCGAACATGTGATCAGACATTTGAATTTGAATAAAGCCGCGGGACCAGGTGGATTTCAACCAGTCCACTTCCGATTCGGAAGGTCTGTTATTTATAAGGATTTATGTAAAATACCAGTAAAACTATGGGAGCAGGAAATTGTCCCAACCGACTGGAGTTGCTCCGTTGTTGTCCTGATGTTAAAAGCAGGCTGGCTTTCTGAATTGGACAACCATAGTGGAATCAGTCTTATCTCCACACGCTCCAAATTACTTGCCTCAATAATCCTTCACAAATTGACTGGATCTCGTGGAACCTAGATTCGTGCGAAGCAGATCGGGTTTCGTCGTGGTCTTAGCTGCATCGACCACATTTTCACTTTTCTGCAGCTGTTGGAGCAACTTCAAACATATCGGTGACCCAACGTATTCCTGTTCCCCGAAATCTAATGTGCCTTCGATTCGATTGATGGATGTGCCATTTGGGACTGGGTACTCAGGAAAGATGTGTCCGCGAAATGTGTAAAAATTATCCGTGCACTATAAGCGCGTAATTCGGACAGCGTGAGGGCTTACGGCAAGCTGTCGCCGCCCTTCAATATCTCCTAGGGCATGATACAAGGATTTCCACTGTCACATCATATTTTTTACTTTTCTACTGACGAAGGTGCAGAGCCGCTCCCAGATGAACCACTGCTTGACTTGGTACACCGCCAATATGGCCCTTATATGTGACAACTCCCAAACGTGCCAAGCTGCACTGGACAGATTAGCGCTGGCTATCAGCCGCTTCCGGTTTTGCTTTGCACCATCGAAGTGCAAAGGTTTTCTCCAATATTGGCATGGATCGCCGCCTGCGCTGACCCTTCGGGGCGAAGACCAGCTAGAAGTCATTCATAAATTCAACTACGTAGGAAGTTGTATCAGTGCCCGTGGGATCGAAGATGATATCACGAACCGTATAGCAAAAGCCTGAGGTGCTTTTGCCAGCCTTCGCCAC